CACGCACGAGCTCTTAATTCCTACAACCTAAGGGTTCATTTGTCCCTCATCAAGCTTCAACCACTCGTTCTTCACTGTTGTACTGCAGGCCGCCTTCGATCCACCTTCAAAACCGCTGATCTACTTAGCTCGCCCATTGAATCCACGCCAACTGCTTGCCGACCAAACTCACGCTGCCTGTATCTGAGAGCAATAGCTCATCCTCACTGAATCGAACCTCCCTCTCCCGTCTATCTACAGGACCGCAAACAACTCCTCGCCTCCGCAAACGACTCTCGCCTCAACAAAACTCCTCTCCACGTGATATCCCTCCGACCGGCTTCCACCAGTCACCCAAATTCTAATCCCTCAAATCGCTAACTCCATACCGCAATCCCACTTTCTCCATAGCACTACGCCCTGTACCCAATTCTTCCAACAACCATGTGATTCTTGCTGTCCCTGCCATCCGTTGTTCTCATTCACACAGTGCTATGTTAGTTCACAAGCCCGCATAGCTCATTCCACCTCTAAATCCAGGCGAATTTAGCCCAAATCAACCATTATACACACCCAAATCCAGCCCAAACGGTAAGGTTTCCCTTTTCTTATTATTATTATTATTATTATTTATTATTCTTTTTTACATTAATTGTTGTTACTAATTAATTTAATTAATATTATTGATATTTTAATAATAATTAGTATATTGTTATTATTGTCGTTGTTGTAAAAATTTTAAAAAATAAAAATAATCAATAGAAAAAATAAAAAAAAAAACAAGAGAAAAAGGGGAATAAAAAAAAGTGATTTTTGTATTTGCAGATCATCGTTGTCATCTCGTCTTCGTCGCCACTATCACTTCGCACATGTATAACTTCTAAAACTCGAAAACCCCACTTTTGGCGTTCGTGGTGCACCAAAAAATCATTCATATACGCTTTTTACTAGCGTGGTAGGAAGAGAACCCGGTGTGGCGCCTACAACGAGACGGGTAGGTCTTGTATGCGCTTTTCTCTAGCGCGGTAGGGACGAATATAATTACCCGTAGATGATTCAGTGTATACAGGAAAAACAACTGCGCATTTCAAACAAGTATCCTGAAGGCCCATACACATCTTTCTCTGGCGTGGTGGGATCGAAGATTTATGGCTACGGTGTCATCATACATCTACCGTACATGCTTTTCTTTAATGTGATGGGAAGGCCCAACTCCTTGAATTTTTCCTAAACATGAGAGACGTTGGGAGGCTATCGAATTTTACAGTGACAAAGGACCTGAACATAAACAATTGACAACGAATATGATTTGAATAATTTGAACAGACGATTGAGCTTGCAATTACAGGGGACTTGAACTAAACATGAGCTAAAGGGAACTAAAATGAACAATCAACAAAGTACTTGATTTGAGCTAAACAACAACACAAAGAACTCAAAAATATAGCAGGGAATCAAACTCAAATAACAAACAATGAACCAAATTTTAATTTGACAAACGTACAATAAAATGGAAAATAAAAGATGATAAATAATGATTTAAAATATTCAAACAGACATTAATGAATGAGAAACAAGTATCCAAATGTCATAATGATCATCATTGATTAATAAGAATATGCAATCTAATTACAAGTAGATGCACAAGAATATTCCAACAAGCATTACAACACGTATACAAGATTACTCATATGCAAGTGATAATGATGTCCGTAGAAATCTTGCGAGCAATCACACCATACAAATGACAAGACTCCAAATGCATACAATAACTTATCCATGAGTGGTGCAGTGATACGCTTGTCAGCAAAGTTTCGAGATCTAACAACGTCTCTACAATGAGCACGATGAAAACAGAAGACTACAATAATTGTTCATACCGCCTACAATAATAATGTGTCATGTATACATGTTTATCCCTTACAAGCTTAATGGTTAGACATACGATATACATGACAACTCAATGTATACAATGAAGCTTTAAGTATATACAAGAAGTTCAGCACAAACACAATAACATATTTACAAGTGATGATCGTCAGCAGACATTGAATATTGCAATATTCTAGAGCCAACACTAATCAACATACAAGCACCTGCAACAATCCCCATGAACACTAAAATATATGCAAGCTAATGCAGCAGTTCACCGATCGACGCGTATAAGGAAACTGATGATGACTGCAACAACTTGTCAATCAATAGGCATGGAAGAATTGGCAATGAATGCGATTCACCCAACGATCGGTGTTAACTTATAGATGAACACATATCTGCTTGCAAATTATAACACTGACAGCTACCCTACAAATGCAATTAAAGAGACTATGAAGGATGCAATAACATGTTCATAAGCGAAGCATGAGAGTTATGCAACGGATGGTGCAATCCCTACAATCAACATACACACCTGCATATGAACACGTCAATTCTACTGCAAACATACACAGAGCAACGTGCAATGAATGCAACTCACCCTTACAGTCAACAACAAGCATGAAGGAGAAGATAACAGCGAGTACTACACACTGCCTGTGCGCATGAGTAATGAACTCGTAGTAAATGGAGGCATCGATCTACAAGCCTATACAAAAAATATGTTGTTTGTGTAGCAGTACACATGCAACGACTAGTGACCTCTAGATATCTACTGACGACCTGCAAGTATATTTGATAAAATTTACAGTGCACAATGGCTTGTTCGCAAGAAGCAATGGGCAGCCCGCAATGTGACGCTACGCCACCGGATCCACAACATATATACAAGAGAATGGAAGACGTCTACAAGCTCTCAAATAGAGCGTCGCGCATATTCAAATAGTAGTTGCCCGCAAAGTTGATCAATGTCAAATATTACAAAAGTGCCCCCACATATGCATTGCAACATGTATACACACAAATATAGAAATACCTCCTAAATACTCGCATGGGCCCCGACGAGCATGTTACGGGTGCATATGTGACATCTTGGGATGCTGTGCGGTTCAAATGATAAATTTAAGTTCGAGTTTGATCCTTTTATACGTATAAATAGGAGTCAACAAGTTTTGAACAATCAAAAAAATAAATGGTGATGGCGTAGACCAAGATATTTGTTTTAATATGTTCATATTAGGCCTTCAAGTATTATAGACAATGAAAATTCACTAACAAAGGCATAAAACTTATGACGAACTCGATCCTCTATCAACAATTGACATAGTCGACAAGGTTCAACCAAATGAAATTCCGTATAAAAATTTTGATGATGTTCGCATTGCATGTAGATCTTAATCGGAGAGGTTAATTCTAAATATTTAAAGAAATGCCCAAAAAAATTCAAAATTTCAAAATTCCAATATTCGAAATATTTAAAATCAAAATTCAACCATTAAATGCTTAAAGTGAAACCCATCCACCCTTCGCAATAATTTCTTGAGGTGGACAAGTTTGAAAATACATTTCAACTCACAAATAGTTACTATCTGGTTGAGAATATATCTAGGATTCATTCTCAATCCATCTCCTACTAGTAAGGACGTGGCACATGTCCTCTAACCGATGATTTTGCTGCCAAATGGCACCGCAGGTAAACGGCTATGACGGGGAACTCTTAACCGAGTGGTTTGCCACCAAATGACATCGCTAAATTACGGTCATGGCCATAGCCCGTATGCTCCATAATGGTACTAAATCTTTGATACGAATAAATATGATATGCTCGATAAGGCACAAAGTCCTCTGTCAGTTAAGGTAAATTCAAATTTATCTCCTTAGATAAATATTCATCCCAGGTGTACAAGGTACCCTTGGACGAAGCAACTAATGGCTGCCGACAATGATCCTTCTGTCAGGTTAGGCCGACTACCTGCTCTGATTAAGTAAACTAGGGACCACGATGGCCCGGGATGACGGAACCATGGGATCTTGATCGGGTCCATCATTCATTCCCTCACCATCCACTTTAAGTGCAAGATGGTAAGATTCCAATTTTAAATATCATCAAATACCAACCAATGTTGCTACTAAATGCCGAATATCACATTTTTTTTTCGATACAATGTATTCATTTGAAGACTAGCCTTAATCGAAAGTTCTCTCTCGTGATCGGGAGGGGTAATTAACTATAGAGGCTTGCGCCTATAGAAAATTAAAACTCACATCATAAAGTCCTCGTAAAATGAGGGCGAAATCTCTAGGTAGTGTCTTATCAACAAACCCAATATGCCTTCTGAAAATTTACCCCGAAACTTAATTCATTAAAACTCCCCCAAAAATAGGGGACGCATGGGCTTGAATTTTCAAAGCCCAAACCTTTCCACTTGAATTTCTCTCTCCTCTCTTTTTGAACATCCCTTCTATTTTAAAATTCAATTACAATTTTTGCAATTAACTCCCTCAATTTATATTTACAAATTTATCTTTTTAAAATAAAATGTGCAAATTTTCTTTAGACCTCCTGCAGCAACAATTGTGTTAAGTTGAAACCGATCCAAATATTGGGCAACAGTAATTGATATTTGCAAAGGAATATAGTTTAACAGATTGTTGAAGAACTAAACCAATAAGTGAAAAGATCTCTAAAAGTGTATTGTCATAACCAAGCTGTCATAAGTATTGAAAAACTTATTTTACATCATGATAGGACTAAATACATTAAAATAGACCAGCATTAGATCTAAAAATAAAATTGAACATTAAATAGCTCAACTAAATATGTTCCAACAAACTCTCAAGCTATAGATATCTTCATTAAAATTTTACCTAAAATGACTTTTAATTAATTATTCAATAAGTTGGGTATCATTAATACATACAACTCAGCTTGCAGGGAAAAGCTGAAATAATCCTGAATTCAAGCATAATACTTTTCTATCTCAACAATTCAGTAATCAGTGAACGACAACTTTCCAACTATAGCAATCTAACAATTCAATAATAATTTCCAATTATAGCATTAAAGATTGATTTTTTTTCTCTGACTGTAATTTCTCTACGTACAATAACTCATTATATTTTTCACATAGAATAAGAGAATAAAATTTAGTCATATAATTTCTCATTTTCTACTCTCCCCTCTTTTCAATTTAATTTTCAAGTACCATATATGAAACAACTCTAACATAACCATCAAGATTACATATATCCCACTTCTATGAGAAGGTTCTCATTAAACACGGGTGTGTGATAGGGAGAAGAAAATGATCCAACTTTTAAAGAGCTCAAGAGTTCCTACCAGCTCTTTTTGCTTATTGTCAAGCACCATCCAAAATCTTCATAAAGACCTCCCACTGTGACAATCTTTGGAAAATTGTATTTTACTAATTGACGATGCGTCAATTCAAATCTCAGAAGTACTCAAAAAACAAATCGAAGCTAAGAACATTATTGTTGGCATCAATTCAGAGATTTGAGGTGAGTCCTAAGCTGAGGTGAGAAACTCAAAACGAGCAACGTCCAACAAAATCTCATGAATTGCATCTAGAATGACATGAAAAACATCCAAAAGAAAAGGACAATTGAGATCTTCAAAATCATGTTACCTGTGGGGCTTAGACTGAAGTTTTGCATGAACCAGCATGCTCAAGTATGCAGGCCCATGCTTCCCATCACCGGCCTTCAACAAAAAAAAAATTTAAGTCCATGCCACCACTTATTGACATGGGGAGAGGAAACTTTAAAAAACCCCTTACAAACAATAATATTCAAAACCATAAAAGGGGCACCCATAAGCTCCAAATAGACAAAATTCAATTGTTTCAAATGTGAGTAGTATCAATTTAATGTGCTAGCCTAACTTGGGGCATTGACTCAGGCGACCCTATGTGTGTTCTATAAAACTTTAGGCAATATTAACAATTTACCAGATCTCTCTAATCTCCCCAGCCTAGTTAAAATAGATGTAGGCCACAACTTGACTGGACGGGAGCCTAGTTAAAATAGTAGAGGGCAACAACTCAATTGGGTGAGTCGAATCCCACAAAATATCTAGTGAATAAGATGTGGTATCCACTCTTAGTATATCCGTTGTATCCTGATGTGGATGTCTACAACTACCATGCAAACAAGTATCCATCCTCGAGAGCAATATCACACCAAGAAGTCAAAACCACATTAAAAGAATTTCATCAACATAATTTGCTTACGGAAACATAGGTGGAAAAAAAGGTAAATATGAAGGTGAAAATGGCGTAGCCCTTAATCTCCAATCTATTAGTTCAAAACACATTATCCTAACCTACAGAAAACAGTGATATACCACACCTTGCCAGGCCAAAGAAGCAGCAAAGGTTTACGAAATCTTATAAGATAAAGTCAGCCAGCAAAGCATTAGACACCTGGAAGATGGGAAAACGAAAAAAAAAAAAAAACAAAAACAGATTTATAATCAAAGGAAAGGATCCAAGCCTTCCATGTTTGCATGACCACGACCTATCATCCACTCCAATAAGAATGTACCACGTGAGAATTGAAACACCTCAAGCTAGAGATGGGGATGATAACAAGTTATCAGATAAGCAATCTGGCACTTTTTTCTTTTTGGACATTTAGGTCAATTAAAGCAGACTCATACACACATCGCATACACAAAACTCGACCTCAGTATCTCTTAGTTGGTAGTCTAAGCTCCCAACCAACAAATCAAGGTGAGCTATGTGCAATCGAAGCCCCATCAGCAAACCTCGCTTATCTTTCCCTCCATCGCGCCGCAATCTGGCATTACAGGTTCACCTTTTTCGGGACAAATCATCACCATACACTTCTAAGAAATCATTTCATCACAGTCACAGCCACTACTTTCTAACTGATTCTGCAGTTGTTTTTCTACATTCCATAACTACATATACCGATATATACTTCTCAGCAATGTCATGAATTATAGACATTTGAAGTAATGGAATATAAAATGGCGGTTCTGCTCTATGCCTCTGTTTCCTGTTTCTTTTATTTTCTCTGCTCTTACTAGTTTCAGCTTTAGTCTCCAGTGGCCTGTAGTTCTTCTATGCACTGTTTTTAATCTTCTTCATGGTATCAGAGCAATCGCTTAACAACAATCCTTCTATCTTTTACAATGGATAAATACTAATCAGTCCAGCCCCAAATAGAACTAACTAGGGAAGACAAATAAGCCTCCTAGGCTCAGCTTAGAAGGATTTAAGTCTAAAAGGTGAAAAGATCTACTAGACAATCTAGGATCAAAACAATCCAAGAACTAGGCTAATAGCCCACTTCGGATCATCAAAAGGGAAGGAAGAGCGAGGTAGAAAAGTCACTAGGTGGTGGCTCACGATCATCTGAGAACACTTAGGGCAATTCATTAGCCACACTATAAGCTAAGGAGACTATTGAGCCACTTATGGTCAACAAACTCTGACTAGAGTCTAAGCTGATAAGAGCCCAACTAAGTATTCTAAGATCACTTGAACTAACCTAAACGATGATCACTTGTTCACTTAGAATCATCCAAAAGTAAAATTGGAACCATGCAAAAAAGTCATTGGACAACTCAAATATCATATAAAACTACTAGCCAAGTCTCTGAAAAATTAAAACGGGCTATGAGAAATATGCTAGGTCATCTAGGATCACCTAAGAAAAGCTAGAGTCTAAGTGACATCCAGTGTTTGATTAAATTTCTTTTATCATAATGGAGTTTTAATGTTTTGTGGATTTTCATATTAGGATAATTAAGATGTGAGCCTTAAAATTTTGAATTGTTATCATTTTTCAACATTTTAAGATTGTTTAACATATTCAATAATTTTTTAAAAAAATTCCTAAATGGCTAAGACCTGTGTCAATATAGACATTAGACAGTGCATAAATGATATGGCACAATTAGTGTAGACAATGATGACTTGAAGGGGTACCGCGCCTCATCGATCTCAGCCATTTGATTGAAAAGATCAAATGGCTCATATTGCATATGTGATAATGAGGAATCAACAAATTAAGGCTAAACAATCCTATAAAAATAGAACTAAAAGATGAATTACTCTCACCTGCAAGGTGACATATTGCCCAAGGTACTTGCCTCTACCAAACCTATTCATATGTGTAAAACTAATGAGCATGTTTTCTATGATTTGTGTAGCCATCGCATCAATCATAAGAAATAAACTTGAGGCATAAGAGAATATACCTCAATCGAGCTATGACCAATTAGTTTAAAACCCTCAGTGGCCTTGCTTTAGTGAGTAAGATCAAGGTTAATCACAATAGTTGGGTGAGGACTCAACAGCATGAAGTCAACAAATAGGAGCCATCAGTCAAAGTCATTGAAAGATATAGCTGTCGAATTGAATTCATTACTTCAAGAAAAAAGATTAACGAAAGGTTGTGACTTACCATTCAAGTACCCTAGCAGGGAAGTCGACTCAACAAATGACTGGTCGAGATGGAGCTTGACAACTACAAAAGGGAGTTGGTATCTCAAAGTTGTTGACTAGCAAGAATCTTAAAGCATCCTAGTCTCTTAGGGATCATGAAGACATCTAGAAGAGAATGCCTAAGGACGTTGCTGAGACACGGCTGAGACTAGTCTAAGAAAACTCACATATGGTTAAACTAGCCAGTCTAGCCTATAAAAAATATCCACTAGGCCTTATCAGATCAATAGGGTCTACTAGGTATGTATGATTTGCATGCCTTAGGGTGATCACCTAAGACTTAATCTAGCTAAGCCATAGAGTCCTGAACAGCCTAAAGAACTCCAAGTCTACTTTTAAGTCTGATAAGTCTTAGCTCAAATAATCAAAACAACGGGAGCTCAAAGGGATGCTAACAAAACCCTAATGCCTCCCATGGGTCATAAGGTGCTAAATAATGATCTTATAGGCTCAAATTTAACCTATCAAGTTCAATGGCAGGTTTGAAGTTAAAATGCTCCAAAAAGGGGATCAACAACCACCATTAGAATTGTTTGACAATCAGCCAATCTATCAGTGCTCCATCAATAGCCCATAGGATTTCTTCGAATCCTTAGCTAAGAAGAAAATCCCACTTCCACTTCTTCTAGTTAGCTTGATACATTCCTTCATGAAATTTTGGGAGCAGATTTTGCTTTAGTTTGCCTCCTCAAGCAAAATCTTCCATTTCTCCACCAAATTGATAGTCATGGTGCAATAGATGAAGCAAACTATGGAGCATACCGCTCCTCAAGGTCAGCATCAACGGATCAGCACAACCACTACATCTCTCCATAACTATCATCACCATTTCATGATTCACTCAAAAGAAGCATCTCAAAATTTCCCACTTCACCCATATTTTCATTAAAACCAATCCAAAAGGTCATATTCATATATTTGGTTGCTCATATTGGTGGCTGCATTAATAGCATTGTTATCTTGGCATTCTGATGTTAGTACTTAGTACGGTTTGCAATGCTTCTAAAATATCCTAGTTTTTGTTGAAAAAGTAGAATTTGCAATCTAATGGAAAGTCAAACTTAATGGGATCTTTTATTACCAAAAAAAAAAAAAGAGGGAGATTTACATACATACCACCTTATACTATTCTATTTATCAAAAAAATACAAAGTTCCAGTATAGTTTGTTATCTACTGTTTTTCCCCCTCCAATTTAAACAGCATTTCCCTATTCCATTAGTTTTTATTTTTTATTTTTTATTTTTAATTAAGTTAAACTTACACACATCACATAAGTAAGTTCAAACTCAAGACCGATTGATTGTTAGTCAAGGCTCTCAACAAACAGATCAAGGTGAGCTGCGACCTATTCAATTAGCTAAAACATCAAATCTCTAAAAAGGGCAAGGATAAGTGCATTACCGCAAGTGATAAGGTCGTATCAAAGCTTCGAATCGTTCCAAAATTAATACATATACGACTAAATATAATTGAAGAACCTCGGCATAATCCGAAGTACTCCAAATTTATTGGTAAAAGGAATCCGCACAGATAAAGAAATATTAGAAAAAGGACATGGAACTTACAGTTCCATGAAACATTGTATCGCCTGTGTATGGCAGCCGCGAGCAAGTACTCGGAGGTGTGGACGAATACCAAACGCCGCGGCGAACCTAGAGAGCTGCACGCAGCCAATGTAACTAAAGTTCCATGATCTCTTCGATTTCGTAGGGCTACGGCGCCGCTTATTCAGCCAACTTTTACGCCTTTCCGGTAGTCTCAAAGACAATTAGGGCTGCTAAGGCGTGCGCGGCATGGCAATGGTCCAAATTGGGCTATTGGGCTATTCCGCTATTGGGCTCAATCGCAGAGCACGAATTGACAATTTTTTTTATAGTTAAATATTTTATTTTTTATTATGCTTCACAGATAAGTTGACAGATAAAATATTATATTTAAATTTATAGGCAACAAATCAGTTTACTAAAAATAAAAATGTATTGCTCATTACCCAAATACATAAGTAACATAACAAAAAAAATTAAAGCTAGATGTGCACATCACTAAAAAATAATTTGTATATACTTTATCCCAATACATTATATATTGGAGAAATTTTAAAGAAGAGTTAAAAAATTATTTAAATTAGTTAAAATAATAATTTGCCAAAAAAATAGATATGAGCAAGTCTCTCTCTTACACACACAACTCTCTCTCTCTCTTTATTTCTTAAGCCTGTCAAAATCAGGTCACGGGTCGGGTTCTAGTCCAACTGAGAATTGATCCGGCACTATTAGGCCTGATTTGAACCTGACTCATTTTAGCAAACGGGTCAATTTTTCGGATCCGAACCCGACCCGCTTCTAGTATGTTTTACTAAAAAAAATTTATTTAAACATAAATCAAATTAAGGTAATATTTACTTCAATCAATTTAAAATAAACCAAACTTAATTCAATTTGGACAACATGAATTATTATTTCTTTGGAAATAGAATTTACCTATTTCATAACAATATTTAAGGCTCTCCTAAATTAATTAAAAATTGATCAAACATGGTTGATTTTGGGTTTTCGGGTCAACACAAATCCGAAATTTTTTGCTCGGGTTGGGGTCCAGTGTCAAATATTGACACCCCTAATATTTCTTCGTCCCTTTTTTCTTTGTCTCCTTCAAGACTACAAATGCATGAAGTAGTTGAAGAGAAATTGCTTGAGCTTGACCTTGACCTTGTTTGTCAAAACTTTGTTCTAGCTTGAGCGTGAGCTCAATTCGAGTATTTTTAATAGTGTTCAATTTTAATTCGATTAAAATTATGATTATTTGAAATTGATTTGATATCAGCTCATTAGCTTACCAGTAGTAATTGAGTGTCTTGCTTATCTATAAAAATTTTAGTAGCACGCTCTTTTAATAAATTTAGATAATATTTAAGCTCTTTATTAAAATTATTCCTTGCGTATAAACTTATTTTTCTATTTGTATATGTTAAGTTGAAGCTAAATTTTTAGATAACTAAATTATTACTCAATTTTGATAACATTATATGACATTTAATTGAGCACAAACCCATCCACAAACCAAGTTCAGGTTAAGGCACCGTTTGGGACGTCTTTTTTACTGCTTCTTGAAACAGCTTTATAGTACAAAAAAAAATAATTTTAATACTAAAAAACTGCTTCAATAAACAAGAAAAAAGCCGTTCCAAACGAAGCCTAAATCACTTTAGATATCATATGATTCAAAAAGATTTGAAATGAAATTGTAACTTAGGCCAAGCGAGGTTGGATTCAAAATCCATCATCATTTTCAAGTTGGATTTTTCAAATCTACTTCAAAGCTGTTATTTTTTTTTTCTATTGTACATCTAACATAAAAACATAAAATTTTGGCCATAAAATTTAAATAGTTTATGCCACTAAGATAAAAAAAGAATTCACTTCAAATTTTAGCATTATATCAAAGCCATCCACATGGTGATGCACCTTGATAAATGATAGGAATAACCTAAATACTTTTGAGAATCATTTGAAAACTTTTTAAGAGCCTATCAGATATTTCCGGTTGGGGTGAACTAAATCCTAATAGTTGACATAGAAATATATTTTTTAAGAACCTACAACCCCCTCAATAAAATAGTATTCCTTGCGTATAAACTTATTTTTCTATTTGTATATGTTAAGTTGGAGCTAAATTTTTAGATAACTAAATTATTACTCAATTTTGATAACATTATATGACATTTAATTGAGCACAAACCCATCCACAAACCAATTTCAGGTTAAGGCATCGTTTGGGACGGCTTTTTTACTGCTTCTTTAAGCAGCTTTTTAGTACAAAAAATTTAATTTTTATACTAAAAAACTGCTTCAATAAACAAGAAAAAAGTCGTTCCAAACGAAGCCTAAATCACTTTAGATATCATATGATTCAAAAAGCTTTGAAATGAAATTGTAACTTAGGCCAAGTGAGGTTGGATTCAAAATCCATCATCATTTTCAATTTGGATTTTTCAAATCAACTTCAAAGCTGTTACTTTTTTTTTTCTATTGTACATCTAACATAAAAACACAAAAATTTTCAAAAATTTTTTTTCTATTGGGATAGAAAGATGTTTTTTAAGAACCTACAACCCCCTCAATAAAATAGGAGTTGTGAAGCTATCACCCAATACACCATAACATCATAATTTAAGGTTTCAACTGTCCCATATTTGATTTTTCAAGCCATGTACGATTATAAGAAATCTTCATAAATATATACAAAGCAAATATGGCGGATATTTAATTATCTCCTCTATTTTCTATGTTCCACTCACATAACAATACTTGCCATGTGAATATCTATGCATAGGACATAGTCTATGCATTTAAGAACATGGTGCAAATGTTTTTTATATGTATAAATGCAAGCATCATTCTTTGGCAATTAGAACTTTCTTGAACTCTTTATTTGTCATCTTGCTTTCATTTGCTTACAAACTTCATAAAAGGCAATATATAAATTTTTAATGGAGATTAGTTGTGTGGAGGTATGTATCAAGATGAAATCATTTAAATATTGTTTATATTATGTGATTTTCTTAGGCATTTGCTCATTCACTTACCTTTAATCATGGAGTATCTCAAACAAAAAAAAAATCTTCATTTTTATCCCTTAAATAGTTTTGCTCATTTGAATAGTTGAGAAATCTTTCTATTAACATTTTAAAGAATTTTCTATAGGAAATCTTCTCTAATCAAGAAGTGAGTCAAGTCAAATAATAACAATGGCATCAATTGTCATGTCACCTACGACAATGAAAATAATGATTTTGTTCATCACACTATTGAACCTTTCAGTGCCCTCATAACTATTGAAGCATCTACTTTTCTTCTCATGCGCAGATCAATACTTGCCTTTCAGTTATACGTACAACGCTAAGACGCAAAATTAAATCTCTATCGCCGCATATTTTCTAGCCCGCAACAATAATAATAAAGAAAAATTATTTGGTAACTTGGCTATTGACATAGGAAAATTTTTGGCTACGTAAAACTTCGAAGATCACACTTGGAATCCTATGATCAATGTAGATTTAGAGGTGGAAGGGTTTATAAGTTAACCAATAGAAAGTATGGTTGAAATGATTTATATAATAGAAGAATTGGGGGACCTTCTAGGACCTTTGAGATGCAAAGAATATGGAAATGAAAAGAAATGATGGGTCCTCCAAAAAAGAGATGCCCACATGTGGTATGTTATTGAACCACTTAACTTTGAATTTTTTAATGTGGCAACAAAGTTTATACATATAATAATAAAAAATATATATACATGTATGTATAAGATGCCATATAGGGTTAGTGACCTCCTTATAATCTCCATTTATATATATATATATATATATA